GGCTGGCAATGGCTGAGAACTTGGCTACATGCAGAGTCTCATCATAGGTGGAAGCACACTGGTTGATGTTGACAATCATGCAGGAGCGCCCGCGCCCGGTGAAGAAGCCCTGGAACACGCGGGTCAGTTTGCTGTCCCGGAACGGAACCACCGCCTGCTTTGTCCTGTGGGAGAGACACCAGTGAGCTGGGAAAGCAAAAAAAAAAAACCCCACACCCTCCCCTCTGGAGGTATGGATGCTCACCTGGCCTGCTGGTTCTGGCGGAGGGCGGCGATGCAGCGGCCCAGGGTGTGCAGGGAGGTGTTGATGTTGTTGGCTTCCTTCATTCGCTCCCCGCTCCTCTGGTCCTTGCAGCGCTCGGAGCCCGCCAGGTCACACAGGGACAGCCTGAGGGAAACACAGTCATATTCACATCTCTTACAGGCTTTGTTTGTCCTGCCAGATCAGGTTTACACTTCAGACACCCTGCAGTCACCTTCCCAGCTTCCCCATAAGGACACAGAGACCATTCTTTTGGGTGCCTGGGCTGTTGATGGACAGAACGGCCTGCCTTAAGTGTAAAATAATCTTTGAAGTGTCAGCTTCAGAGATCCTTTGCCAGTCCTAAAACAGCCATTTTCCAGATAAATACATCCCAGGGACAGGCACCAGCAGCACTCAAATCAGCCCTGCTGCAAAGGGTAAGGATGCTCACATTTCCCTTCACTCAAAAAGCCTGAGAACTACCTCAAGTTGTACCTTGCAGTACTCCTCAAACTCCTGTCAGTTCTAAGACTTAACATTTATTCCTTCCAAGTATACTTTCAACAACATCATCATCAAGATACTTCCCATACCCCAAGCCCTCAACTAAAGAGACAAAACAGTTGAGATTACACCCAAATCCTAAAAAACCATGAAACTTACTCGCTGATTTTTGGAACAACTTCACTGCCACCTCTTTGCAAGTGCAGAATGCGAATGGAGAACACACTGTGACTGTAAAGAAACATTCAAATATTAAAAAAAAAAAAAAGCAAACTTTAAAAGCCCCTCAGAATTGTATTTCTGCCTAAACAATCCCTCTCCCTTCAGACCTGCGACTGGAGTTCTGGTTCATGTGCGTGCTCGCAAAACTCTGGTTTTTCCGACCCAATTTCAGGAGCTTCCAGGCCTCATCTGCATCCCGGACATTGATCCAGTTCAGATCTGGAAAGCAAGCATTGGGCATTGATTGGGCACAGCTGTTGGGACTAGCAGAAAACTTATCTCAGCCCCAACCTCACCATTGCATGTTCTTGACATCAACAAATTTGGCAATCCTGTAACCCCAACATCAGAGCTCTCTGTGGGGCTCTCCAGCACATCACTGCTAAGCCACCCACCCTAAACATCAGGCCACCAAACCTCTCCAGCAGGCAAACCCACCTTTCACATAGGGGTTGCCAGTCTGGTCCTCGCAGAGCCGCAGCGTTTGCCGCTTGCGGTTCTGCCCAGGTAGAGCTGGTTCTAACAGGTCATAGATTAACTCGTTGTAGATCTCAAAGAAAGAGACCCAGATGGAGAACTGCACATCTTCTGGGCTGGTGAGTGAAATACGATCCAAGTCAGCCCAGCAAGGGCCCAGTTCTGGGGAAAAAAAAGAGAAAAAAAGGAAGGAAAACAAATCATGACTGCAGCTTTTCGTGGATCCAACAGAATGGTTTAGGGCTAGAGCAAGGTACTTCCATCAGCAAGCAAAACCACCCCAGACACAAATCCTTTTATTTACTTCCTCCCATTTGCATCTATTCTAATGCCTGTCCCCAGTGAGACAGCCTAAAGTTTCCTTTGACAGGATCACCTGCTCTGTGTAAGGACTTTTACATACTCAATTTTTTTGATTCTAGAATTGCAGGATATTTCAAACATTAATTCTTTCCAGCATAACTGAAGTTTTAGTCCTTGTTATCTCAATCACTCCATGCTTCTGGATACCTGAGTAGCTGGTAGTTCCTGGGTTTGATAGTCAGAGCACAAGTGCTCAGTGCAGCCTGCCACTCTGGCATCCTGCTTCCCAGCAATCCCCATCTCACAGCAATCAGCTGCTCAATAACCACATTCCTTGAATGAAGTGAGTGAACATCAAGCAATTTTTCATTTCACAAGGCTTTGTTATTATGGAGTGGCAAATTCTTCTGATACTGGCAAAACATATGAAGAGTTTTTCTGACGTGGCATCTTTCAAAGGGAAAATCTGAGGCTACAGCACCTTTTCTCCTTTACCCAGAACACAGCATCCAAACAGCCATCACCCTTTTCTTCCCCCATCCTCCAGCAAAAAGCAGCAGGTATTACACAACAGGCTTCCAGAAATACCTTCTGTCTGGCTGAGGTCTGAACGGTTGGTGAGCTGGCTGGATGAAGACAGCCCAGCAACTCCACTGTCAAAGCTGCCACTGGTGGTGGCCTGGAGCTGAGATTCAGCACTGTGACTCCTCTTCAGCGGCGTCAGCAGCTCCTCCTTGAAGGAAACAAGGAACAGGAGCATGCAGGTAGCGTGACACCACCCCTTTCCTCTTGCTGTTGAACTCCCAGAGGCCCCGTGCTTACCTCCCAGAGTCCCCTCTGCAGCATCATCTGCTTCTTGGTCTCCTCCTGGCGCACCTGCCTGCTGTCCAGCCAGGTCACCTCGTTGGAGAGGGCAGGCTTCAGGTCCATGGCCTGGTACAGCCGGTCCCCCACACTGTGGAAGATGGTTGCCAAGGAGCGAGGCAGAATCCCCCCATCTTGGGCAGTGCCTGCAGCAAGAACAGCAGCAAAGCTGAGGATTCAGAGGCAGAAGACAGAAAACAATTCCTTCAACAGGCCCCACAACACCGGGTGCTTTCCTTACCCTGAATCGTGTGAGTCTTCCCTGAATTGGTGATGCCATAGGTGTAAACCAGACAGTTCTGCCCACTCAGCACCTCCTTTACCACCTGCTTCATTGTCTCATCAAAGAACAATTTCTGACCCACCTCTGGTCCAAAAATCTGCAAACAAGACATAGAAAAAATGGCTTCATGTAGATCTTCCCTAGCCTTTGCTGATGGTTGCTCAAGTGATATTACATGGTCCTTTGTTCCCCGCACTAGCCATGAGCAAGAGACCCACCAGCAATTCCAGCTGAGCTCCCTACAAAAACAAGCTGCTCATTTGTTTAATCCAACAACATCTCATATCACTGCAGCCCCTACTCTGTTTAGAGCCTCATGAACAGGAGTTTGCCATTTGCTGCCAAAAAAGGGTTGCCAGAAACAGCTTAAAATAAAAAAAACTAATAAAGTAGCAACTAAAACCTGAAGTAACCTGATTGCATGAGACTGAAGAGTTCAGGCACTGCCCTGGGGTCAGTGGATGTGAATAAGGCAGCTTTTCAAGCTGCAGGGCTGGTTTAAGCTTAAATCACTTCCAGATGGGTTGTTTGTCCCAGCTACCTACCCTGGTGAAGGAGAATCTGTGCACTGCTTGTCCCACTCCTCGCTCCGTGCTCCGCATGGTGAAGGAATTCTTTGGAGCTTTCAGAATAAGGCTTTCTGAGTTCTCAATACAGACACAGCCCTAAAGAACACATAAAATCCATCATTGCAGTGGCTTACAGAAGGATAGACAGTGAAGGACAGCAGCATCTCCCAGCAGGCACACAGCCAGCTCAGACTCTGCTTCATTCAGTGTCTCACCTGGTCTTCCCCCTTTTCTACTTCTGTAGATTTCAGAGGTCGAACTCTGAGGTAAACCTTTAATTTTCCATTATTGTCTTCAGCTACAGCCTGCAAGAATCAGCACAAGTTAAATATGGCAGCCAGAGAGGCAGCACACACCCCCCCCATGGGAACACTTAACAGGAACCACAATATGGAGCACACATGTTGGCTATGCTGCAAGTGCTGAGGAATTTCTCTGGTCCCAAAATCACCAACAATGCCAGAAGCTTTCTTAGGCATTCCCAAGCACGCCAGCATTATTTTTTTTTGTTTATCTAATGGATCAGACCAAGAAGCCAAAGGCCTAACACCCAAACCAAGCATCACCCCAAGAGGCACTTGCTGCCCACTGCTTTCCCAGGAACTGCTCCCCCCAGTTGCTGCCTCTTCTGTCTCTGTTATTTCTGCATCCCACTACCTTTGTACAGAGAACAGTAGCCACAAGTAAAAACGCTGCCCTGTTTGTGACAGAAGGGCTCCAAGCTGACCTGAGCGCCCTCGAGGTTTGGGGAGATGGCAGAGAACTCCGGCAGCAGGTCCTTGCGCAGGTCAGCCCCAAAGCCCGCTGCTGTGGACTCGAGCACAGGGGAGGCTGCAGCCTCATCGTCAGAAAACAGCCCCGGGGAGGCGAGTGCTTGTGCCATGGTGCCTCACACGGCTCCTGGAGAAAAAGGGGAACGGGACAAGGTGATGTTACAGCAACCCCTGCACATCCATCGGTCCCCACAAACACGGATCCCCACGTGGATCCCTCCCTACACACACTGCAAGGGGCACACCACATACGCACCCCCTGCACACGGGGAAACCTCACAGGACCCCGGACACAGCCCATGCACACACAAACACCACCCAGGACTCCAAACCCACCTCCTGGACATACGGACACCATATGGGTGACATGCACAGAGACACCCCTTAAACACACGGTACCAAACAGACCTAACGCACGCACCAACCACCGCACAGGACAACCCCAGGCCCAGACACAGCTCGTCACTGCCCCCCAAACACACACACAGCTCAGCACCACGCAGGTCCGGCCGCACGCACAGGGACCCACCGACACCGCCGGCCGCCCCTACTGCCGCTCCGGCCCCGCTGCCCCGCACGCCGCCCCTCGCTCGGCGTTTCAAACCTCGCCGCCCGCCCGCTCCGCCAATAGGAGCACGGCATGAGTGCCCCTCGACCAATCAGCGCCCGCTCTCTGGATGGAGGAGGCGGGGCCCCGGGCAACGGGCCGCCCGCGCGCGCGCGCACACGGTGAGGGGGGCGTGGCGGCGCTCGGCCGCCTCCCGGCGGGCTTTGCGCGCGGTACCGCCCCTGCCGCCCTCAGGGCCGGGCGGGGAAGATGGCGGCGGGGCCAGGGAGTGAGTGCGAGGCTGGGCGGGAGATGCGGCGGGGAATGCGCGGCGGCGGGGTTGGGGAGGAGAAGGGGCAAGGGAATGGCCCGAGGAGAACGGAGCGGTTCCGCAGGACCCTCCTGGGAAGATCCAACGGGGGCGCGGGGCGGGGCGGGGCCAATGCGTCCGGGGAGGGGCGGGGCCGAAGAGTCTGTGAGGGGCGGGGCCAGGCGTGGAGCCACGGGTTCGAGTCCCGGTGTGTCCGGGACTGCCCCCACACTCCTGCCCTGTCCCGCAGAGCACAAGCTGCTGAGCGCCGGCCCCACCGAGCCCTGGTCCATCCGTGAGAAGCTCTGCCTGGCCTCCTCCGTCATGCGCAGCGGCGACCAGAACTGGTACGGGAGCGGGAAAGGCGGGCGGCATGTGCACAGCACTGGGCTGTCACCGCGCTGCCGCTGTTCAGAACAAAAATGGGGTGAAAGAGGTGTGCAGGGTGTACCTGGACAGGCATTTCGTTGCCTATATAAGTACTGTGTCAAAGTAGAGGTGTGTTCATCAAAATAAAGAGCGTTGAGAGCTGGGGAGGGAGTTTGGACAAGGAGTGTCCGGACAAGGAGGAACGGCTTCAGACTCAGAGAGGGAGGATTGGGTTGGAGAGTAGGAAAAAGTTCTTTACTGTACTGTGAGGCTGATGAGGCACTGGAAAGGGTTGTCCAAAGAAGTTGTGACTTCCCATCCCTGGAGGTGTCCATGGAGCAGCCTGGGATAGTGGAAGATGTCCCTGCCCATGGCAGGGGGTTGGAACAAGATGATCTTTAAGGTCCTTCCCAACCCATTCTATGATTCTCTGTTCAAAATTAGATGAGGTGGCTTGTGGACAACAAAGATATTTGGTAACAGATCTCCTGTGCACTGAACCCATCGCTCTGTTTTACTGTACTTTTCTCCTCTCTAAAGTAAGGGTTTTGTGGAAATGTAATCATGTAACCAGATGCAAAAAATTTGCTTTTCAAAGCAAAGGAGTGAAATTACTGTTTATTAGAAGCAGGTAAATATTTTTGAGACTTTTAACTCCTTGGTGAGTTTTATCATGTTTAGCAGGGTTATTCAAAGATGCAAAGAGAGGTTTTAATTTTTTCTCTGCATGTTGGGTGGGGGAGAAGGTAAGTTGATGGTGACTTGCCATTTCCTCCCACAGGGTCTCAGTCAGCAGAGCCATCAAACCTTTTGCAGAGCCAGGACGCCCACCTGACTGGTTTTCCCAAAAGGTAAGACACTGATATTTGAATCTTGGACACCAAACCTCTGCACAATCAGAAATGGCATATTGAGGATGAATTAAGGATTAATTGTTCTGTGTTTTGTCCAGTACACAGTTATTAAGTAAGGCTAACTAATGAGATCCTTCACCAGGCATGTGATTAAGCTGTGAAATTACTTGCCTTGGGAATTTGTGGGTGTCCATGTATTTTGGTGTGTCCTGCTGTTTGGGCAAGCAAACTGTCCTCTGACTTCCTTTGTTTCTTCTCAGCACTGTGCATCTCAGTACTCAGAGCTCTTGGAGACCACAGAGACCCCAAAGTGAGTACAAAGTCTGAGCCCAGCACAGCCTGCAGCAGCTCAGGGGGCACTCGTGGGTTCTTACAGCAAAGTCCTTGTCACTGTTAAATTATTTTTTGTCCCACGACCAGCTCCTCCCAAAAGGAGCATTTCAGAATGAGAAAATTCAGCTGGAATAGCCGTTGTGGGACAGTGGGATCAGGGTTTGTCAGATGGGAAAGGTAATGTTTATTTGGCTGGAATGAAACACTGCATGTTAGCCTTACTGGTCAGAAGCTTTACACATAAATTTATCATTCAGAGTAGGGCTAGAAAAGAGAAGGAGTGAGAAGGGAGATGTTTTGTATTTCCCACTATTTTGCAGTGATTTCTTACAGGTTTCTTATCAGTGTTGTCACTACAGCTCTGTGATATGAGTTATTTACTGCTCCTAATTCCAGGCATTTTGTTCGGGGACTTCACACAATATTAACTGAAAGATGGGGTGTTTAAAAGTAATATTTGTGTGGAACTGATCTGTTTGTTAATTATATTCAGCACTAGAGTTGCAAAATCAAAGGGTTTAGTAGAGTTAGAAAAGAAAAAAAAAGATATTTCTTCTTGGGGAGAAAAGAATTCTCTCTTGAAGTGGAAGGATTATTTTCAGGTTGAGAATTTTTGGTGGGCTTGCATCTTTGATCCGTTCCTGAAGTAAATTAGCAAAAGCTTGCTGAAGAGATTGTTCGAACGTTGTGCTGTCCAATATAATTTAGTGCAATTGGAGGAAGTTGATTTTTTTGGATGAACATGTCATGAACGACAGAAAGCAGCCATTTATGAAAGAGGAACTGAATTTTCTTGTGGTTTGTCTCTGAGTTTTTCTTTTCTCTTACTCTGTAGAAGAAAACGTGGTGAGAAGGGAGAAGTTGTGGAGACAGTGGAAGATGTTATTGTGCGGAAACTGACTGCAGAGAGGGTTGAGGAGTTGAAGAAAATTATTAAAGAAACACAGGAAAAATACAGGTACATGACAGAGGTGTTAAAATGTTGCACACCTGAGAGTCCTGTCCTGAAAACATAGTCCAAGTGGGATGAAAATTGGGGTGAAAATGCTGTTTAAGGTGTCCAGTTCAGTGATCAAAATGTAAAAAGATTTTATGATTGCAGGCAACTCAAGAAGGATGCAGAGCTGATCCAGGCCGGACACATGGACAGCAGACTTGAGGAGCTGTGCAATGAGATTATGATGTGGGTTATTTCATTATTTCTTCTGAGATTGTAGTTTCCTGACACTCTGTTTGGCAAGAATCTTTCGCTCACATAGTTTGGGTTAAGAGAAATGGGGCTGGGCAGATGCTTTGGCCTCTGAGAGCTTGGACTGGGGGATAGCAGCCGGTGTGGAACATCCTTTGGAGTTGCTCAGTAAAGAGCTTGGCCATGGCTTGCAGAACCATGTTTGCTGCCTCCCTTCTGGCAATCATCTGAAATTTCCTGCCCTGTGTGTGTCTGCTGCTCGCCTTGGGGGATTTGAGGCTGAGTGGTTTGATGTTGTCTGGAGATAACAGGGTGGGCATCAGTAAAATGCATTTTGGAGGGGGAATTAAGGGGAGCTGAGACACCCTGTGACAGCAGGTTTTTGTTCTTTGGACAGAAAGAAAAAACTGGAAGAGGAGGAGGCAGAAGTCAAGAGGAAGGCTACAGATGCTGCTTATCAGGGTAAGCTGGAAATGAGGTGCCTTCATTTTCCTCAATGCATATATTCATAAGAACATTTCAAAAATACTGAAGTCATGTTAAGATCTGCAGGAGGAATTCCTTGACCCTAGAGTTGGAGAGAGAGTCTGTATTCTCTTTACAGCACTATATTTGTAACAGGGTAAAAGCCAGAGGCTTCTGAAAAAGGAATAAAATCTTCAGGAAAGATGTGTCCCAGGGAAAGCAGGGTTAGTAAGGAGCTCTGTGTTAGAATGTCAGGCTTTTCACACCTTTAGTTTCCCCTGGTCACTGAAGATAAGAGGAAGAAACTTTTATTCTGAGTGTTTAGTTCTTCATAACTCTTGGGGCATTTAATTTGGTGATGGGAGGTGGTGAATACTGAACTGCTAGAGAAACCTGCAGCTGGAGTGCATCGCCCAAAGTCAGTATTACTTGGGAACTGAGCTTAGTGAGGTGCAAGAAATTCCTATAACATAAATTGTTCTCTTAAAATTCTTCAGGATAAAGTCAAAGATAACTCTTGGGGACTGTCCACGATGGAGTCACAGACTCTCACTGTAGTTTCTGTTCTCTTCCAGCTCGCCAGGCCATTAAGAACCCACCTCGAAGGCTGACGGGGGTGATGGTTCGTTCTCCTGCAGGCTCCACCTCCCCGGGCGGGGATTATTCCCTCGGAGATCTGTCCCAGCCCGCTGGGGATGAGGCCAGCCCAGGGGTGAGGATCCTTCTCTGGGTAGGAGGGAATGCCCAGCTTGGGATGTGGGGCTCTGCATCCATCACAGAGAAGGGGCCTGGGGAGAAGCCCTTGCCTTGCTTTGCAGATTTCAGGTGCTGTCGTGTGGTTGGTGACAGTGCTGCTCGAGATCCACCTCCTCTTCCCTGTCTGTGGTGATCCAGTGCCTGGATCAGAGGCCGTGTAGGAGCATCAGTGGGTTGGCCAGGCAGTCTGTGAGTGCCTGGGAGCTGGCTCTGCAGGGCAGGGAAAGGGTGAAAGCACATGCCTGGAGTAGGGGCAGTGAGTGAATGGAGTAGGTGTCTGTGGTGTGCTGGATCAATGCTCTTGGGGGAAGCAGCAAGTGGGGCTGGTCCGTGTGGTGGAGTGTGGCTTTGAACAGTGTGGTTTTTCTCTTTCTCAGGTCACGCCAGGGACATTGCCCAGCACCCCAGTTGCCTCCTTCATTGGAATCCCTGACACCCCTCCAGGCTCTGCTCCCCTGGATGCCCCCATGACCCCAGTCACTGATGATTCACCCCAGAAAAAGATGCTAGGACAAAAAGCAACTCCGCCTCCTTCCCCTCTGCTCTCAGAGCTGCTGAAGAAGGGCAGTCTTCTGCCCACAAGCCCCAGGCTGGTATGGAGCTCTCTGCTCATATATGCAAGCACACAAACAATTTGCTCCAGATTTTCCCACTGAAAAAGGGGGATCTGCAAAGAATTTTTAAAAATGTGCAGTTTTGTGAGAGTCCCAGCAGAAGTGATAATCTGAGAGGTATAAATACCCCTGTGAGCTGCAGAGGTCAGCCCCTTTCCCAGCAGGACTGCAGGGCTCGTGCAGCACGTAGGACTGGCTGTCCCCTCAGTCACAAGGAGTTGGAGTTGCAGGGTTTGCTAGAGGAAATTGTTCTCCTCAGGGGAGGGAACTTGTTAGTCAGCATCATCCCCATCAGCCTCAGTGGCACTCCTGGTGCTTCCTACACTGGGCTGACAATTCTTTACACCTTGTCAGGAAGCCCTGTTTCAGTATTTTTAATGTGTACAAGAGTAGGGAATCCTTGAATGGCATTTATGACCTGTACAGAACTGCTTCAGTTTTCTCCTAATTGTAGACAGTTCCTAAAATCACTGTGATGAGAACCCACTTGTGGTGTTAGTGACTTGGGAAGTCTTAGGAGATGCTGACCCTGTTCAGAGCCCAGTCTGAAAACAGCAGCCTGCTTGTGACACAGATTCCCTGGGTTAGTGCTTGTGTGATGGAGTAGGTGTGTTGCTGTTTACTTTTTTCTTCATAGTAGTCACATTTAGGGGTTTTTCTATTTTCTAGCTTGGGTAAATGTTCCATAGATTTTGTGTTTGCAGGATGTAACATAAAGTGGGGCAGGGAAAGGTAATGGCTGTGAAAGGCTGAGTTTTCTTTGTAGGAACAGGACTGGTTTGCATCTGTTTCAAGGTCCATCATAGGTTCACTGTGTGACCTTGATCAAGTTACTTTCCATCTTGGTATTTCTGCTTCTCTCAACTCAAAACAAGGGATATTTCTGTGCCATCTCAGGGTCTAGAGAGACTCATATGTGTAAAGGACTGTGAGGTCCTTGAAGAGAAGAGCTGTGATAGAGCAAATGATGCACTTGGCCTGCAGCTGTGTTACAGCTGAAGAACAGCAACAGTTTCAGACTGTGATGTTCTGCACTTGTGTGAGGGGCCTCAGGCAGGGACTAACCTGAATAAAAACTGCGGAGGAAATGCTGGGACACCAGATGCTGGTGCTGTTCATGGAGGTGCACATCTGGCAGAGAATCACTGCTGTGCTGGTATTTCCAGGAACTTGAGTTTCGTCCTCCTTTGACAGGTTGGTGAAAACGAAATGGCAGTGGCTTCTGGTCACATGAACAGCTCTGGAGTGCTGCTGGAGGTAGGAAGTGTCCTGCCAGTGCTGCACAGTGGGGAAATGCAGTCAGCACCTGGTGCTGTCCCTGCATCTCCAGCTGCTTCAGGTAACTCTGGCCTTTCCTTGTACAGTTCTCCCTTAAGATGCACCTTCAGACTGTTCTGTGGATTTTCTTGGGGGAAGGATGATGCCTACCTGGCTGGTTTGGGGGCTTCTCTTTCAGTTGTATTCCTATTTATGTAGCCCTGTCCATATCACCCCTACTTTTTAAGACCCTAATCCTTAAAAGAGTGACTGAAACAATTTGGTTTGATCCAGTCCTGATCCATGCAGTCTGGTTTTCTGGGTTGGACACTGGCTAATACCAGGCATCTTGAGTGTAGAAAGAGGGGGTTTGTTTGCAGAGAGCTGGGGAAAAAATTGTCTAGATCTGATCCCAAACGTGGCAAACACAGCTCCCTGTGGATCTGGAGAGCTCATGTGCCTTCCCTCTGCTGTGTCTTAGAGATCTGTTCAGAGTTAGTCCACTGAGCTCCAGAGGAAGTTCCACAGAGTGGGGGGAAGGGGGACAGTGCAAGACTCTGCATTGGGCTATTTCAGAACAACCTGCCTAAAGAAGTTTCTTTTCCTCAGCTCCTGCTGACCAGTGATTTAATCACATTGTCTGCAACTGAGATTATGTGTTATTCATTCATATAGAATTCCATACAAGTAATATTGCTTTCCTTATCCACATCTGTTTTTTTAAGACTTGTTAATTTAGTCCAGACAGTTCAGTAAATTCAGACTGGAAGTTACAACTAAGATGAATGGCAGCCTTTGATATAAAAGGAATTCTCCAGGAAAAACCTGCTAGGAAATCCCCTCTGCTCCCTCCCAGCTCCTGTGATGACTGTTTGTCTTGGCTTACCTTGTGTGGCTCTCTCAGCACTGTTTTTCAGATTTCCCATAATTGTTCTGGGATGAGCCTTTGGAAGGGCATCTCTGTGCATGTGTGGCTTAGTCTGTCCAGCCCTTACAGTGAGTGCAGTGTTCTGTAGCTGCATGATTCTGCCTCAGACTGCACACACAACAGGAGTCGTGCATTTTTTGGTGCAGGTTCTCTGTACAGCTTTTGGGACTCTTTATAGGTGTATCTGTGTCTTTTCCCAGAAGAAGCCACCAGACAGTGAAGAGCCCAGTGGTGGCTTTGTGGACTTCAGTGGTGGCTGCTTCTTGCTCATGTGCTTTTCCCTTCTACTCTCTGTTAGGTGCTCCTACGCTTTCCCGGCTTTTAGAAGCTGGTCCTGCACAGTTCACCTCACCTCTTGCTTCCTTCTCCGCTGTTGCCAGCGAGCCTCCAGCTAAGCTCCTGCCACCCCCCGTAGAGCCTGTGTCCCAGGCCACTATTGTCATGATGCCCACGCTGTCAGCACCAGCCGTTGTGCCACCAGCTGCAGCTGCAGAGAGCGTAGCCACAGGTGCGTTCCTAACCACGCACTCAGAGCTCACGTCCTGCTGGAAAGCAGAACTTCCCCTGGGATCAGCGCCCTGCGAGCTCTCAGCTGGGCTTTGTCACCTCCCCATCCTGGCCAAAAAGGGTGGCTATGGCTGGGTTCTGGAGGAAACAGATGGTTTTAAACAGGGTTTGCTGGGTGTGGGTGGGGGTGCTGGTGATTTGCTGGACTGCGGTTCAAGGGCTGGAATCTCACTTTGTCTCTCCTGTGGGAAAGCAAACCCCTATTTGTCTTTTATTAATCCAAGCTGTGATGGGGTGGATGGGCCTGGGATACTTGTGGTTGGTGCTTGGTGTTGCCCACTGCAGTGTTTGTTTATGTGGGGACTTCTCCAGCTTGGTGTCTGACTGTCCCTCTCGTCCTTGTGCAGTGAGCCAGCCTGAAGCCTGCGTTTCCATGGAGGCAGTGGCTGATTCCCACACTGTGACAGTGTCCATGGACAGCAGTGAAATATCAATGATCATTGATTCCATCAAGAAAGAGTGCCTGGGTTCTGGGGCTGGCAGCACTGCAGGATCTTCCAAAGATCACTGCATGGATGGGAAAGAAGATCTGGATTTGGCTGAAAAAATGGATATTGCAGTGTCCTATACGGGGGAAGAGCTGGACTTTGATACGGTTGGAAATATTATAGCCATCATTGAGGACAAGGTAAATGGGGAAAGCAGAGTGCCAGTGCCTTTTGCTCCACATTCAGTTGGGTTAATTTCAAATGATTGCTGTTCACCAATTTAGTTTAAACAAGCAAGAAATAACTATTCCAGAATGCACATTCTCACCATCATTTTCCAGATCAACAGGAAAGGACACCACTGCTGCCTGTCTGACACTGGTGCTCCTTTTCAGAGTACAAAAAGAAATGTCTTTATTCCTTGGAGGGTAGGGTTTGGGTCATGTCTCTGGCAGACAGCTGAGCACTGCTCACAGAATCCTTTCCAGGAGTGCCATATTTCTGAAACTGAAGCTTCAGGAGAAACTCTCACAGGGAGTGATACAAATCTGGCTGCAAAAAAGGCAACTTTGTAAATGGAGTAGACTGGGATTTCCACAATTGTCTCAGTACCAAATAACATGAACTTTTCTTTTAATCCCTTTTTCTGACCTCGGCCTGCACTGCTGTGTGTTTGTTTTGACAATAAAGGTAGATGACCACCCTGAAGTCCTGGATGCAGCAGTTGTTGAAGCTGCTCTGTCTTCTTTCTGTGAAGATACCGATGACCCTCAGACCCTTCCTGGCCCATGGGAGCATTCAATTCGTCAGGAACATGAGAAACAGGCCCAGATGCCACAAGTGTCTGTGACTGTGAAGCAGGAGAGACTGGAGTGTGAAGAGCCAGAGGCAAAGGGAATTCGAGACCTAATGGGTATCAGTGAGCTGGGGTCAGAAATAAAGACTGAAATTGCAGAGCAGGACCAGGGTCAGCTGGGCCCTGAAGAAACCATACCAGCAACTGCAAGAGTGACAGAAACTCCAGAGCTTAGAAACCAAGAGATAGAAGAAGATCAAAGAGCAGCTGTAACATCGGGAGAGACTTCTGAAATCAAAATAGAGTCATCCCAGGGAGATGATGCAGTGCTCAATCCAGTGAAGACAGAGGTATGTGGTCACAGAGGCTGCCTGGAACTGGTGTGGGGAAAGAGAGGAGCAGTTGTGGCAGGTAGGAGCAAAGTTTAGAGGAAGGATGAGTGCTGGGTTGAAATGACCCTTCAATGTATGTGACTGACTGTTTTCCTGGGAGTCAGGCTGCTGATGTGCAGAGCAGCTCTGCTTTAGGCAGTACCTTTGTGTATCTCCCCCCACCCATGTGCAGAACTGCTGCTGGGAAAGTGCTCAGTGAACCTCATTGGCTGGAGTTAGGTTAGGGTGAGTGAGATGTGCCCACACCTTCACTGAAGTAAGCTGACACAAACATCTAGATTTGTGCATTTCTCTTCCCTCCAGACCCCACCTGATGATGATTCATCCCCTCCACAAGTCCCAAATGTGAGTGAAGACTCCTCACAGGCTGATGTTCAGCACAAATTTGAGCTGTCAGGTAACTTAATTCAGCTAGGAAATCTTTTACATGCAACATTATTAGCTGGATAGTTGTTAGTTATCTGGTTCAGGTTTTTGGGGAGGAGGGAGAAAAGATACCTGTAGGAACAGTGGTAATTACTGCAGGACAGTAGGCGTTGGTGCAGGAGCTTTTGTAAGAAAGGCTGCTTGGGAGAATCAATCTTTCTGCATTTCTTTCTTTCACAGAATCAATGAAGGAGGAGGCCCAAGCCCTGTTTAGGAGTCAGATGAAGGTAATTCCCTGCTGGTTTTAGTCATCTTGAGTTAATTAGCAGCATGCTGCTGCTGCTGTCTGCTGAAAGGCAAAGCTTGTGTTCAGCTTTCTGCACTTTGAGCAGTCTGCAGCTGAAGGGGAGATGGCTTCAGAATGTCAAGGTGTTTATGTCTGTGCTTCTGGGTCTGTGGGGACAAGCAGGGCTGGCTGGAGAGGCTGGGATTTTGTGGAAGTGCCTGTACAGCTGTCAGCAGCCCCTCAAGAAGATCACTGTGCTCGCAGAACCATAGTTGCTTTGGAGGCGCTGAATGGCTGCTGTAGCTGGCTGTGCCAGCTGATGGACTCTGTGTTTCAGGATGGGCAGGGTGAGGAGGATGATGAGGACGGTGCCAGTGAGGCTGCCAGTTTGGAGGAGCCCAAAGAAGAAGACCAGGGTGAGGGGTATCTCTCAGAGATGGATAACGAGCCCCCCGTGAGCGAGAGCGACGACGGCTTCAGCGTCCACAACGCGCCCCTGCAGTCGCACGCGCTCGCCGACTCCATCCCCAGCAGCCCGGCCTCCTCGCAGTTGTGAGTGTCAGGGCACACTGGGACTGCACGATCCCCGTTTCTGGCTTGCTGAGTGGGTCCCAAGGGAGAATTTGTTGATTATGGGTTTGGTTCTTGCTTACAAGTGTGCAGACAGCACTCCAGTACCAGCTCCCACTTTTTCCGTCTGTCTTTGGTGTGGGTTAGCACGGGCATGTCAAGGACAAAACAAACCATGAGTTTTCTGCTCTGAGGCAGTGATCAGACTCCTGAAGGAATTAATGTTCTTCTTTTCCCAGCTCAGTGTGCAGTGAGGATCAGGAGGCAATACAGGCTCAGAAGATCTGGAAGAAAGCCATCATGCTGGTTTGGAGAGCAGCAGCTAATCACAGGTGAGTTTGATGTCTTGGCAGAAAGAAGTGACTAATCCTAGACAAGTCTCCACTCTCCCATCTCAGAGGCTTATCTCTTTTGGGAGATGATGAATCATATTGTTGCAGACAAATTAAAAGGAGAGCATGAAACAAATATTTACCAGCAAGGACAGGCACTGAGTGGACTGTTTTTCTCTGCAGGTATGCCAATGTCTTCTTACAGCCTGTAACTGATGACATAGCACCAGGCTACCACAGCATCGTGCAGAGGTGAGTCTCAGCAGTATTCTGTCATCAGAACTCTGTTTGCATATTTGTAGGGATTTCTGGCAACAATGTAGTTTTTGCCTGCTGTGCAGACTTGGAAAAGTGTTCTTTTTCTGACATGATTCAGTCAGAAGTAGGTTTCCCCAAGAACAGTCATCCTCAGGCACATGTCTATACACAGTCCTGACTTTGAGTGAAGTACACTGACTTACAGAGAACATTTTACCAGTAAGGTGAAACTGATCTGTTTCCCCCAGTTTCTGTCCAAGAGTAGGATTTAACCTTTGAAATTCCTAAAAGCTGTTCTCTAATCAGTATTTTTTGCTGTCCCAGATGGTGGACTTTTCTGGAAGAATTACCAGAATCCTGAAATCTCTTGTGAACAGTTCAAGCTCAGTGGCTGCAGCTCTAGCTCCTTAGTTTCTCTGTCAGTGGTGCCTGGAGAAGGCAGATGCCTCTCCTGAGAGATCTCTGAGGCTGTTGTTACTGTTCCAGGTAACTGCTGGACACCTTGGGTCTTCTGACCCAGGCCTTGGTACTGGGGAGCACAGCCCATGGGGGAGAACCTGTTCAGCTAAATAAAATAGACCCTGTAACTAAACACATTTCAGACCCAGAGCTGTTTCTAAAGGAGATGGGAAAGAGTTAAACATTTCTGTTGCAATTTTGCCTGAATTTCTTTCACAGGCCAATGGATTTATCTACCATCAAAAAGAACATTGAGAATGGGCTGATCCGAACCACAGCCGAGTTCCAGCGGGACATTATGCTGATGTTTCAGAATGCAGTGATGTACAACAGCTCTGACCATGATGTGTACCACATGGCTGTGGAGATGCAGAGAGATGTCCTGGAGCAGATCCAGGTAAAGTACTGAGCTGAGGCCAGTGCAGGACAGAGCATCTGCCTTGGTCCATAGGTCTGGCTGTCCCACAGTTTCACTCCCAGTGTGTTTGAATGCAGTGGGTCCTGCCCTTCCCTGCTTCTCTCTCATGATAGTTCAGGTGTTTGTGTTGAACTAGATTGTGGGTGAGTTAAAAGTAACACAGCAGAATATTTTATATGTTCATCCCAGACCAATTTCAAATGTAATTTCCTTCAGGGAAATGCTTAGGCCAGCAAGAACCAGGGTGTGGTTCAGGAACAGAAACGAGCAACAAGAGCAGTGAATGACAGGGGACGCCACGGCTTCTTTGGGTGGCTGTGCTGGTTTATGTTGATACAAAGTGCACATGAAACTGCCCTGTGAATTTATGCTATTTAAAATATCCTTTGAAGCAGAATGTCCCAGCTGGCAGGGCTGAGTTTGAATTGGGGTTTTGTAGTTCCTCAGGACTTGTGGCTTCTGAGGTAAATTGGGGAACTTATTCTGAGCAGCACACAAGGAACTGAAACTGCCTCTGACCCAATCATTCCCAGCCTGTGGTCTGTGATAGTTAACTGACATGCACTTACTGAGCTTGTTTTGCTTGACAATCTTAACAGAGTGTGGTTTCCTTGCAGCAATTTCTGGCCACACAACTGATGATGCAAACATCAGAGTCAGGGATCAGTGCAAAGAGCCTGCGGGGGCGAGACTCCACTCGCAAGCAGGATGCTTCAGAGAAGGTGAGAATGCTGCACCCTGTGCCAGGGCACTTGGGATCTTCTGAAGAATCCCAAGATACTGCATGAAGTTCCCACACCACGGAGGCAAAAGTTCCCACACCAGCATCTTCACGTGAACAAATTTTCTTTAAATGTCTGTATTGATTAGATTTCAGTTCTGGAACTATACAGCATGCCAGAGGCAGGTCTCATGAGTTTTTTTCTGTAATACAAATACTTCTATTACCTGTTTTTAAAAACAGGTGATAAAAACTGTAGGGAAATGAACAGAGTATTGGAAGAGATGTGAATACTCTCAGGCACACAGTGTGACTCTTGGGGATGAGCCTGCAGAGTTGGACTCCATGATCCTTGTGGTTCCCCTCCAACTCCACAGACTCTGTGATTCTATGGTATGGCAGAAAGGTGAAGGGAATTGCCATATCCTTCACTTCTTAGTCAGGTTTTTAGAGCTAGAGAATCAGTCACCTCTGGTTTGCTGTGTAAAATACACCAGAGAACCTTTGAATTCCACACTGATCTACGCAATGAAGATTTGTGGTTTTTTCTTTTATAAAGACACATGCAAACTTGATGAAGTGATCTCAGGTACTCTCTGGTGCACACAACACTGTGACAGCAGGGGCTGCCTGCTGAGTTCTAGTGACAGCTGCACTGAGCAGGAATTGTTTGGTAGACCAGGAAAACTTGCTGTGGCTGTGGAGGGAATATCCCTTTCCTGGCATTCTGGCTCTCGCAGTATCCCTCTTTTGTCTGTTTTTATGTTCCTGCTGCATAAGACTGACGCCCTGCAGGAAGGGGAGTGGGGCACATGTTCCTCTATGCTCATGTGTGGGCTCAGTGCTTCTGTGTGGTGTGTGCATTTCCGTAGCTGATGCCTGATAAGTCCTTCTGTTTGGCCTTTTAACAGGACAGTGTCCCAATGGGCTCTCCTGCCTTCCTTCTCTCTCTCTTTGTAAGTATTGAAAGGCTCCAGCAGGTTCTGCAGTACTGCTGCCAGGTGCTCTGCTCCTTGTCTGGGTGATCCCTGCACTGTCACAGCATCCTTAGCGCTGCAGCAGGGTGTGTTTGACTTGGGGGCTGCACCACTGTGAGCTCAGAAGAGACATCTCAGTCCCTTACTCTCAAAATGGGTGAGCGGGTGGGGCTTCACTCTTTTCTTCTGGTTCCAAGTGTTTTTTGTTTTGTCATCTGCTTTTGCTTTTTTCCATGACTTCTCTCCTGCTTTCTTTCCATGTAAGTGGGAAGACAAACCAAGTGGTGCAGTCCTGTAGTTCCTACATCTCTCATGTTTATACAGCTGCCCCTTCCACATGTCCGAGGCAGTGCAAAAGGTCTTGGGAGAGTGAGGAGTCAGCTGTGTGTCCTTTATCTGTTCCTGGTTCAGAAAGCAAAAAAGACTCTGCAGAAATATCTTGCTCTGTGCCCGTGGTGATCTGGAAGTGTTTGGAAAAATATTCCCTCTGGGAAACCCCAAGTCTCTGAGTTACTGTGAGGAGAGAGAGAGGAGGAAGATGGAGAGCTGTCCTTATCTCTCACATTATCTAAAGACAGAGGAGTACTCCAGGAGAGGCAGCAGATCAGCCAGAGAGAGGATCAGAGGAAGCTCTCAGCTCACCTTCTGCTCGTGGAAAGGAGCTGTGTGGAGGAACTAGGGAGCTAGTGCCAGGGTCACTCAGCTGGAGGAGCACTTCCATAGGGATCAGCTGCTGATAAGGTAGGTTAGTCAGCAGTTTTCCTTTTCCCACCTTAAGCTAGAATCTGCTGCTTAGGAGGAAGCCTGCACTGTCCAGGCTCCAAAAGCATCTGTCTGGGCCAGAGGTGTTGCCTCTCTCTGCCCTGGCTCCAGCAGTAGATGCTGAGATGCTGCCAAGCCCAGCACCCTGCTGTGTCCACATCCAGCTTTAGGTAGGTCTGCAGGCAGGCCTTGGCAGGGACAGCTTCCCTTTCTCCTGATGGGAAGGCATGAAAAATTGTTGCCAGATGCAGAATTCCCTCCCTCTGTCCCTCCCTCCCCTGTGCCGGAGGGCCGTTCCTGTGGGTTGTGTAACTCTGTTTGTTTGCCTTGTGAGCAGGACGGAGGCACCAGAGGGCGGCGCTGCGCCATCGAGGCAGACATGAAGATGAAGAAATGATGCTGCAGACACAAAATCCCAGCAGAATCCCAGGCATCCGGAGCTGGAGTGTGAGCAGGCAGCTCTCAACAGCTGTTGGAGGAGGAAGAAAAGCTGCAGGTCCATTTCTGGGACCTGGTTCACCACCTTCGCTTGCCCTTCTGGAAAGCAGTGTCTTGTCAGAATGTGTAACCCAAAGAAACTTCCCTGGAGGGGAAGACCAGCCCCCCCTGCCTGTTTTAGGGCAGTTGTCTTGGGCTTCATCAGTGTTCTGGTGTTAGCTAGCAGCTGGTGGCTCGTATGTACTGTAATGTGAAGTGTACAGATTTTTACTAGTGCTGTGTAAATGTGATGTATATTAAAATCTGGGAACAAACCCGTGTGCAGTGTACAGAGAGTCACAGCTCTGCAGGGAGGAGCCCTGTGCCACAAGCCTGGATCCCCACCTGGACTATCTGCAAATATAATTCTTTTCCAGTTACCCCTATAGCACACATGCATGGCAGAGCTCTGCTGTTAGAGACAATCCATAAATCACAGGAATGCTGCACAGTGCTTGGAAGGAGAGGAGGATTCCCTGCTTGAGTGTGTGAGGATACAGCACCACTCTGGTGACACTGGAGATCAAACCTTGAGAAGTTAAATGCTGCAGTCTTGTTGGAGCTTTCCTTAGGAGAAAATGCATTGCAAAGGACTTGACATTCTTTCCCCAGAGATCTGTGGAGGCTGCACTAGTCAGAGTGAAAATCTGTGATCCCAGCAGCTGTAGGCAGGATTGCCAGTACCTGGTTTCACATCTGAGCTTGTGCCCTGTTCCTACTGGGAATTACAGTCCTTTTCCTCAGCAACACGAAGGTTTAAATTCTCTGCAAGAATTTCCAAGTCACTTTTTCTGCTCATATGACCTGAGATGAAACTTGCCTGTTTCCTGCCCACACAACCATTCATGGGGGAAAAGAAAACAACAGAATGACACCATCCTTGATTGCTGCAGCAGCTGGGAGTGCTCTGCCCTCCGTGCAGCATATCCAGGGTGCAGCTTTCTGGTAGACAGGTTTCAGGAAACTGAGTCACTGGGATTAAGACCAGAGGCATTGTTCCCTTATCCAGTAAGAGCTCTCAATTTTCACAAGTTCAGTGTTGAAGTTGGCCATGCCTGCTGTGTCAAGTCCTGTGTATTGCTGAGGTGAATTTTCACCAAGACTCACCTTACTGATGTGGAAATGCTGAAACTCCCTTGGATTGGTGTTTGGTTCATTGTCTTTTGCTGCTAAACACGGGAGCAAACTTCTGGTTTGAATTTTTATTGTTCTCAGTTCGTAGCACAAAAAGTTACAGGGGTCTTTGTCTTTCATGCATTTCATGGAGTGATTTCAGTTAGGGACAAACATTTTAGCATTGCCTGTTGTGACAGGACAAGGTAGTGGCTCTAAACTAAAAGAAGGCCTATTTAGACTGGATGAAGATTATTTTTACAATGAGGGTGGGGAGGCCCTGGCACACTTACCCAGAGAAGCTGTGGATGCCCCATCCCTGTAGTGCTGAAGGCCAAGTTGGATGAGGCTCTGAACAACTTGGAATAGTGGAAGGTGTCCCTGCCCATGGCAGGGGAGCTGCACCCAGACAGCCTTTAAAGGTCCCTCCCAACCCAACCTGTTCCATGATTCTAAGTTGGAAAGAACCTCTGTGCATTCCTTTACTTCATTCAGCTTGCTCAGAGCAGGGCCAGCTTCAAATATTTACCTTAGTCAGAATCTCCTGTGGTGCAGCTTGTCATCCCTGTCTCCTTTCACTGGTGGGCTCTGAGAAGGGTCTGGCTCCATCTCTGTGACACCTCTGCCCTGCCCCTGTCTCTGCTGGAAAGCTGAAGGTGCAGCACAGGAGAAGGCCCTTCTCAGACCCTCTGGTAATTTGCTTTCATCATAGCAAGAATTGCTGTTCCTTCCTACCCTTGGTTTCTTTTCCTAACCAGGTATTTTTCTCTCAGCCTTTTCTCTTGTCCCATGACATTTTAATAGTCTTTAATGATGTTTAAGAGCTTTAAAATTCCAAGATAGGGTTTTCTCTCAGGAGCCTCATTCCCTCTTTCCCAATTCATCATCTCGTGCTCTGACTACTTACTAATTCTCTTCTTCCTAATACTTTGTTCTAATCTGTCTGGTACAGAGCTGATGTTTTACTGTGCTGCATCTCCCAGCACCCACCCTTTTAGAGTCAGATGAAACTGTCACCCCTTTCTGGTTTTCTTCTTAAATGACAAGTTACACAGCATAGACTTGGTCACGTTATATTTAAGCTTCTTTAGGGCTCACAAACGAATCCCAGTGGGTTCTAAGGTTTATTCACTGTCTCGAATTGTTCTAAAATCTCCCCTGTTGACATTTTAATTAGATATCATCTCTCAGACCCATCCCAAGAGAAGGTCTCATGTGAGCTCCTCTGTGGCAACTGCTGATAATGATGATTAATTTGGTTTTTCCAACTGGCCCTATTTTCCACTGAGATGTTTGGCACTGATCATGTGTCATCCCCACTGATCATCTGGCAGCTCTCTGCTTCTGATGTTTTTGATGAGGTTTTTTGTTTTTATTTGCTTTTATGTCTTTAGCAAATTGTTCTCTTTTTCCTTTTTTTTTTGCCTACTTTATGTGGATTCTACATTTCATTTGTTAGAGTTCAGGCTTTTATCATTTTTCTTGTTTTGACATGTAAGTTCTTTTTAAAGGCTGTCTTTTTCATTTCCAACAGCTTTTTCCCAGAACAGCAAGGGTTGTGCAGTGTCTGATCTCTGCAAAGTGAACTAAAACTTTCCAGTTTGAGAGAGGTTCTTTGCTAATGACTTATCTAGCCAACGAAATTAAGAACTGTCAGGCAACTCTTAATTAAAAGTTCAAGCCTGTGTCATTTTGTCCGGAATTGGTGCAGAGCTGAGCTGTCTGTGATTATTTCACTCATCATGTCTTGCACTAACGCTGCTGTTCTGCTCTCTGGCATCTTGAGCCTTCCAAGATTTGGTAAAACTGAACATAAGGCTGAAGATCTCTTTAATCTCATGCCCAAGTTCCCAGGACTTCCTGATTTTCAACATTTATCCCTCTGGAGCACAGAAGGATGATCACAAGTGATCAGATTACCCCAGGCTGAGGCTTTTCTGTGCCTCTGTGTGTGGCAGCTCTGCTGAGGCTGCAGGAGAGAGCTCCAGGCACAGGGTTTCTCCTCAGATGGAATCTCAGTTTGCCCAACTCCCTCACCTGGAAGCTGAGAGCAGGTAATGTTATCGCCTCCCTCATCAAATTTCATCTGCTGCCACTGAAGTGAACTTTGGAAGAGGTTTCAGAAGGACAGGCTTGCAGATCCCAGCTCTGCTTGCAAGTTCACAAAATAAGCAAAGCAGTTTTCTCATCCCAGACCCAGTGGATTCTGTATTTCTCCCAGTTATGTACCATAAGCTGGGTTTGGAGCTGTGCTAGCAGTCCTGAGAATGGAAAACACAATCAGTGAAAAATGTGCTTGTTTAAAACTCTGAAAAAATTAGGTTGTACATAATTAAAAGAAGACTCTAAAGCCAGTGTTAATTAATGCATGGAGTTCTCCATAGGTGCAGCATCCAGGCAGCTCCATTCAGTGGCAAGATGAGGATTTTGTGACACACTTTGCTGTTGTACTGTGGCTCTGCAATCAGTTCCCCAGGCTTAGAGGACTCAGAGTACACTCATGCACTTAGGCATGGACTAATGAACAGAGATGAAATGAGTGGTTTCTTCCTTCTTAAGAGAATGCAAACTTTTATTTTCTGCAGTGGATGGAACTGTGGCTGTCAGTGTGACTGTGTGGTTATAATTCTTCTTGCTCAGGTACATGAGATAACACATCCAGATAAATCCCACCTGTCACTTTCAAAACTGTGTCTGTAAGGTTTGGAGTAAGTTATTTCCAGTATAAAAAGTCCCCAGAGGGCAGCAAGTGGAATTTCAGTGAGCTGTCCTTGGAGTCACCAGTTGTTGCCAACACTCAGCAGCTGAGGAGCCCCAGCAGGGCTCGGTCTGAGCTTGCTGGGTGCCTTCAGCACCTGAAATATGGAGCATCAGCAAAGCCACAGGCTCCAGACTGCTCAGCATGCCCTGAGCAGAGTGACCCACTGACCAGGGCAGGGAGAGAGCACAGCAAAAGCAGCAGAAAACCTCAAATTCAGTTTGTGTAGCAGAGCTGCAGCCCTGCCATGTGCTGTGTGTGAGCTCAGGGGTAGGGTGCTCACCTCAGAGTCCTTCCCATGCTGTGGCCCTCCAAGGGTGTCAAGAAATGAGCTGGGCTTGGCAGTTCTGGATCAGGGTGCAAAGAAATTGCTGTATTTTCATTGTTTGCAGATGGGCCATGCCTGGAAGTCTGAGTTGGAATCTCCCATTAAGTCAGACAGCAGTGATTTCCAGTCCCTTCCTGACTGGGATTCAAGCTTGGATCTGGATGTGATGAGCTGGAGAAATACTGAAGAGGAGGCCATGGGGAGGCTGGAGGGGAGCAGCCAAGAGGCAGACCCTGAGATGGAGCTGAGTGAGCCTCTCTGGAAGGATGACAGTGAAGACAACCACGAGGCAGAGGAGCCACGTGAAAACGACAATCTTCTGCAGTTCCTCTTGGAGGTAGGGCAGTTTGGATTACAGGAGGGTGGGCAGCATAGTTCAGCCTCTCCTGAAACATTGGGCTTTGCAGGGCCTGCACCATCCATACCAACACAAACAGTCTGGGGGCACAGCAGAAGCTCTGGGTTCACTTTCTCCCCAGCCCAAGCCCAGCCTTTCCTCCCATTTGGAGCTCCCACTGCACACAGGCTGCTGCTTTGCCAAAACCCAGCTCACCCTTAAGCACAGAAATGTCAGTGAACTGACACTGTAATAATAACACAGGGCTTCATCAGATTTTGCAAGGATTCCTAAAAATGGAAAGGCGTTCGTGAGCGATTGCAAAAATAGCATCTCTGCTGTTTATTTCTTCTCCCTTTTGCCTTCACAATTTGAAGTAATAAATCCCTGTCTTGCAGGTAACCCAGATGTTGGAATCTTGCTGCATTGGCAGCACAGAGTCACCACAGACTCCGTGGGATTATCATGGCTCTGTGGGGAAGCAGAGTGATGGGGAGGAAATGAGGTGCCAGGAAAAGACCACAGGAACAGTAGGCTCAGGAGCAGAGGAAAGTCAGCTGCACATCCTGGCAAAAGATGAGGAAGAACTCTGCCTGGAAAGAGAGGTAGGAGAGTGGTGGTCCTGAAAGAGCCTCTGGCCCTGGGTGAGAGATGAGAAACCAGCTCTAGAAGAGATGGGGAGCCCCAGGTTCTGAGAGGGGAGACAAAACACACAGGAGGGGAACACAGAAAAAATGTATGAGGGAAGGGTGTTTTTTTTATGTATGGCTGTGTATCTTTATAAACAGGAAGCTTGTTACAGATGAAACCCTCAGATGTGAGTTGGAGGAATTGCTCCTTGGCAGTGTAAAGGTGACTCATGAGAGCTGGCAGGCTGCTCTCAGGTTTAAGGCAAGGTTGGAATACTTGCCTGGTTCTAATTGCTGTGTTTTGCAGCACAGCTTGGCTGGTTTCAGGCCCACGTGGCTGTGCCAGCAATAACCATCTGCCCCTGGGGACTGTCATGTCTTAGAAGCAGGCACTGTCTAGCCTGGGTTTGCATCAGTCCTGTGTTTGGGGGCTGTGGGCTCCCACCAGCCTGCTGGGTATTCCTGGGAAAGCAGCACAGCACTGGAGGAACAGGGCTATTTTTCCACACTTGTTCTCTTGCAAACTCAGGACACTGGAGACAAATAACGCCCAGGATTTCACCTGTCCAGCCAGGACAGTGTATTCCCAGCAGTTACTCTGCTCTCAACTGCTGTTACTCCCAGCAGCTCCCTCTCAGTTCTCCCAGTGCTCACAGCCAAACACACAGTGTTCAGTTTCTTTCTGAGAAGTCTGCTCGTGCTTCAGATCTGCTGAGGATTCTGAGGTGCTCCTGCGTGAAATCCCACTGAGCTTTTTACTGGCAAACCACTACAACAACAGCACCACTCTCCTTCCTGGCTGAGTCTATTCCCTGTCATTTTAACGTGGGAGTTTGTGAGGAAACAACCTTGTTAACTCTGGGGGTTCCTGTTATCTGTATCTGCAGCTTTAACGAGCCTGAGGCAGTCTTACCTCAGCTCCTGATTGCCCTCCCTACATCCATGACTCTTCCCAGAGAGCAGACACAACACTGGGCACCACTCAGCTCCACAGGGTTTGTGTCAGCCAGGGGTGGATGTCATCCAAGAGATCAGACACAGCTCCTGCTGGAAGGTCTGAGTGAGGTCAAACAGCATCCTCTGAGTAACAGAGCAGGCAAGCTCCCAGCTGAGCCTGGATGCAGGAGAGGGATTTACAGCAGGCTGGCTTCTAGATGAAGGATTCAGGTACTGTGCTGCCATTTTAGATGTGTCCTCTGTGCTCTTCAGGGAGAGACTGAAGACTCACCTGGAGAACCCCCTTCAGATGTGCACTCACCTGAGATGAGTGCTCAGGCCCTGGATCAAGATGACAGTGACAGCAGCTCTGCAGCCTCAGTGCTGGACTCCACAGGCTCTCCCAACATGCACCTGTAAGTAGCTGGTTCTGCAGTCTTGCAAGTGCAGCAGAACAGAGTCATTTCCCTTGTCACACGTGAGAACAAGTGGATGGCCAGGTCACATCCAGGAAGGTGAGGTAGCCAAGCAGAGCAGGAGGGAGGGAGGTAACTTGTGCTGTCTCTGGATTTGCTGGTATTGTAGGGCATTGATCCTAAGGTGAAGTGAGAGATTAAATAAGAGATTAAATGAAAAATACATCTTTTATGATTTCTCAAGTGAAACAGGCCTGGTGTGAGCTGCACATCAGGCTCTGTCAGGCAATGCACAGCCCAGCATTTCCAACCCCTCGGAGCAGGTGCAGGTGTGTCAGTCACATGCAGGCTCTGCCACCTGTGTGATAACTTGCACTGCCTTTCAGAGGAAAGACGTGGGATTTTGGGAAGAGAAACTTCACCTCAGTAAAGTTCTGAACTGCAGAGCAGCTTGAGGTTTTTCTATCCAAAAGACAGAAAATCTGTTCCTTATCTCAGCTTTGCTTTTACCTGTTGTCCTGCATCTTCCTGCACTCTGGATGTTCAGTTGTGCATTCTGATGCAGAGCACTCCCACCATCACACTCAGAGGCTTTTTGTAGCTTCATCCACCTGGGTGTGGTGGGAGCCAGCAGAATTGTCACCTCCTACTTTGTCTCGAGTGTGATGATCTGGCAGTATCTTCACTCCACAGGCTGCAGCCAGTGGAGTGGAATAACCCCCTCCAGCACCTGATCCTCAAAAAAAAGCTCCTGTCCATCTGGAGGATGATAGCCAGCCACAGGTATGTGGGAGCAGAGGGCTACATCAGCATGTCCTGAGTCCCAGCTCCTGTGTCACCTGTCCCAGCCCTCCCCTCCCAGGGGCTGGCCTGTCTCTCCAGGACTTTGCTTTGGGAACAGCTGCCTGCTGCAGAGCTGGAGAGAACACTGCATATTGATTTCCTCTGCTTAATGTGGCAGAGCCCAAATGCTGCTTCCTACACAGCTGGCACAACACTGGCTGTGCATCAGGGCCAGCAGGGAGAGGCAAGCCCTGCTCCATGTTTGTGGTGCAGGGACAGGCAGAGAACATTCCTTGTCCTTGTCCTTGTCCTTGTCCCTGTAGGTTCAGCAGCCCATTCCTGAAGCCAGTGTCAGAGAAACAAGCCCCTGGATACAGGGATGTGGTAAAGAGGTGAGTTTGTGGAGGAAGTGCTCACTCGTTGATTTCACTCAGGCTGTTTTCTGTCTTCTCTGGTTTCCAAAGGGCCAGTGGGATGGTTTCCTTCCTCCTTTTCCAGAGTTTGGCTGTCACCAGCATCTCCCACTGATTTCTTTCAGTAAAACTCCCTTCTGGGTAATTAGAACCTGGAAGCTTGCACTGACTCTGGAGCTGGTGGGAATTGTGCCTGCCCTGTGCAGGCATTGCATGGCTGGCTCATTCCAGGGACAGTCCCTGGGCAGGGGATCCAGGCCCTGCAGCTCAGCAGTCCCTTCTCCCCATGCCTGGAATGTGCCTCAGGAGATGCCCCCTCCTCACCCGCTGCGAGCGCCCCAGATGTTTCACTCTCAGCACAGAAGTGGGTCATAAGAATATTTCCCAGAGAGATTAATGGCATTTTTTCAGAGCTGAATCATGTTCTATTCTGGTCACAGTTGTCCTCTCTGCAGCCATTCATTTTCCCATTCTGTCAAAGTAAGGGAAGTAATATTTATTCCCTATCATGTTCCCCTTACCAGCACTGCTATTTTTGCTGGTGGCACCATTCGATCTTTAGGGGGTTTAATAGATACCTATTTTAGTAACTTTTCTTTCTCCACTAAGACCTGGACTGACTTCCTGAAGACTAATTACTGCTTGCCTTCTCTGGAGCTCAGCATCCCATTTTTTCCAGAGGTGACTGCTAATGACCTGCCAAGTTGATTGGATAGCAAGTGTCGCATTGGCTGAACTCACTTTTGTCTGGCTCAGAAGAAAAGCCTTTCTCACTCCCCCCTGTGTGTCTTGAGCAATAAAATTGATTGAAAATAGCTGTGCTTTCAGGGCCACCCTGAAATGAGAACAAGCACATTCATGCAGATCCCAAAGGATGCCAGGCCCTGGGTTGCAATTTCATTCTTCTCCTCTCTGTCTTTTGTAGACCCATGGATTTAAGCAGCATAAAGAGGAGGCTGTCAAAGGGACACATTCGGTCCGTGATGCAGTTCCAGTGTGACCTGATGCTCATGTTCCAGAACGCCGTGATGTACAACAGCTCCGACCACCACGTGTTCCACGTGGCTGTGGAGATGCAGAGAGAGGTCTTGGAGCAGCTGCAGGTCTTGGCTGAAGCCCTCCTGTTGTCCAGGGACAGGCTGGAGTGAGGCAGAAGGTAACCAGCCCTGCCTGAGGCCTCTCTAGTTGGAGCAGTGATGTCTCCATGGCTCAGGGCATCTCCTGGGCTCAGAGGATGTGCTGCCATGGCGTCGGGTAGACCTCATTATCCCCAGTGCTGGCTGCTGGGTTGATGGGTTGATTAAGAGCAGTTTTTGGGAGGGTACCCTGTTGGAAGCCTCCATTCTTTCTGGGAAAAGCAGCGATGTAGCCCTGCCGGGAGAAGAGTTCCCTGGGATGAAAAGCAAGGAAGGGAATCCTGTGTGTGGCCAGGTGATGAAGGGGGTGCAGCCTGTGAGGGTGGCTGGCTGCACAGCGGGCACGGCAGCGTTCCCGGGTTCAGGTTGTTGTCATGTTGTGTTGGGTCGGGTGGGTCCAGCGTTACCCGCACTGACCACACCCAATAAAGGCCCGTGTTGAAGCTTGCCCCGGCCTGCCTGACACTGGGACTGGGACCGCGACTGGAACTGAGCCTGGGACGGGGACTGGGGCTGGGTCCAGAACTGGGACTGGGGCTAGGACCGCGACTGGAACTGAGACTGGGACTGGGTCCAGAACTGGGACTGGGACTGAGACTGGGAGGGGTCCGGAACTGGAACTAGGGCTGGGTGCAGAACTGGAACCGGGAATGGGACCGCGAGTGGAACCGGAACCGGGACCGGGTCCAGAACTGGGACCGGGACCGGGGGCGGGAAACGCGGGACGGAGCGCGTGGCCCGGGGATGCTCCAAACACCGCTCGCCACTGGCTGTCCCGGCTGTCTGTCACTGTTAGAGCGGTTCTGATTGGCTGTCGGAGAGCTGGCGGGTGTGTGTCCCGCCCGCGGCGCGGCGCGCGCCCCGGAAGCGGATTCGGCGTGTGGCGGCCATGGCGCGGGAGAAGCCGGAGGCGGCGGCCGAGGCGGAGGCGACACCGGAGCTCTCGTACCGGGAGCAGCTCGACTTCCTGAACCCCATCGCGCAGCCGCTCGCGTCCCGCAAACTCACCCGAAAGCTGCTCAAGTGCATCAGGAAAGGTCCGGCGGCGCCGGCGGGGAGGGCCCGGGTGATGGCGGCGGCGCGGTGCGGTCCCGCACGCCGCGGTTCTCACTCAGCCCCTCACGCCGTGCTTCTCTTGCAGCGACCAAGCACAAGCAGCTCCGCCGCGGCGTGAAGGAGGTGCAGAAGTTCATCAACAAGGGCGAGAAGGGGTAAGTGCTGCCCTGGTCCCGCGGGCCCGCGCAGCCCCCGGCCCGGGCGCTGACACGGCTGTGCCCGCAGGATCACGGTGCTGGCCGGGGACACGCTGCCCATCGATGTCTATTGCCACATCCCCATTATGTGCGAGGACAGGAGCCTCCCGTACGCATACGTCCCTTCCAAAACGGTGAGTGTGGGGCGGGGGAGGAACCAGCCCTGGTGACAGGGAGCACGGTGAGGAGCCCCGGCCGTGACCGGAGCCGTCCCGGGAGGTGCAAATGCGGTGCCCGAATGAAGAACTGGGTGCTTGTCCCTGACCGAGGCCAGAAGGGACGGGGGGAGGTGTAGGATGTGTCTCACTGTGGAGTCACAGCTGTTTGTCATGATCGAGTTCCTGCAGCAGCTCCGGGACAGAGCCAGCACATCTTTGCCAGGCTTCTGTGGGCTGGGCCCGGCTCTTTTGCAGACAGGGAGCTGGGGGGGCAGTCGGTGTCTTTGGAGCTTCAGCCCCGGTGCAGGCAGCTCTGTGGACCCACTCTGGGGAAGAATTATGGCACGTGAGACAGGTGCCAGTCCTTTCTGCCAGCCTAGCTCACAGCTTGTAGGAGACAAGCTGGGAAAAGGTTCCTGAGGTTCTCACCTCGGGAAGGGAGCTGGCCCCCCATGGCCTCCCTGTGTTCCCTCAGGACCTGGGAGCTGCAGCCGGCTCCAAGCGCCCGACCTGTGTCATCCTGATCAAGCCCCACGAGGAGTACCAGGAGGCTTACGACGAGTGCCTGGAGGAGGTGTCGGCCCTTCCCCTGCCGCTGTGAAGAGCCAGGGCCGGGCTGTGCCCCCCAGGGGCCCTGCGGGTCCCTGTCCCCCTGCCCGGGCCGCACGGCTGTTTCTGGGGACTCTGCCCAGAGGACTGATGGGGGGATGCTGAGCGCTGTGGGGTCAATAAAGGTGTCTGCGGGTTTGTACAGAGTGGTCCTGGTGCTCGGGGGGAGGGCTGGGGGGGGTCCAGGCTGGGTTAAACCACAGCGGGGACAGGGGCGAGGCTGCCCCGGGAGCCCGCCCGGCCCCGCCGTGACTCACGGCCATGCCCTGCCTGTTGTACCGCCCAGCCCGGCCCCACACCGTCCCCTTCACCCCCACCCTCACAGCCCCCCCGACCCCGAGGGAAGCAGAGCAGAGGCTGGGAGAGAGAAATGCGGGTTTATTGCAGGAACGGGGTGTGGGGCTGGGCCCGGCCTTCACGTGGTTCTGCTGTGACATGCACAGAGCAGGGCTCTCCTTCAGCGCCTCTGGGCTCGCCTGCTTCCCCTCACCTCCCCCGGGAGGGGGGACCCCAGCTCTTCCCCAGCTCAGGCACACGCCCCAGTCCTCTCTCCCACCCCAGTTCCTCCCAGTGTGGCAGAGCACCAGTTCCCATCCCTCCTTGCACAAGGCATTCCCCCATCTCAGCCAAAGAAAGCTGCACCAACCACCTCCACTGCAGAGCAGCTCCACACTGGGGACACAAGAAGCCCCAGCAGGTGCTGGGGCAGCTGCCCCCTTCCAGCAGCACCAGAACTCCTCGGGGTTTCCTCCTCTGCCTGCCCAGAGGCACCACCAGCCCCAGGGCCCTGCTGACAAGGCAGCCACTGCAAACAGTAGCTGCAACCCCCGCAGCAAGGCAATGGGGTGGGGGACAGGGCTTCAGCTTCTCCTCACAAGACATTAAGTTACTGGGTTGTAGAAACAGGAGCAGCAGAGCAGGAGGGACAGGGAATGTCTCACAGGGTGCTTGGTTTCTGCCCTCATGGCAGAAGGAATCACAGGGCAAACACTCCTGGAGTCAGAGCACGGGGCACATGCAAGACCCCCACCCTGGCACAGATGACCCCCCACCCTCCAGAGACCCCACCAGAAGGGCCTGAGGTGCTGCAAGAAGGAGAAGCTCCCCTGTGGCAATCGGTCCTTCAGGCCAGGGCTGTGTGTCCTTGTGCACACCCTGAGATCGTCCCTTTGCAGCGGCAAGAGACCTTCCCCCTTCTCAGTCCCACTGGCGTCCCGCCCCTCAGATCTTGGAGGACTCCACCCGCTCGATCCAGGGTGAATCGATCCTGACATCCCTGGGCTCCGCCCGCAGCTGCCGCAGCTCCCGCTCCAGCGCCTGGCTGCGGTGGTACATCTCCATGTAGCTGGCCTGGAGCTCCCGCTGGTACCGCAGCACCTTCTCCTTCTCCTCCTGCCACGTTTTCCTCTCCAGCTCAAAGTTCACAGCCTGCAGCTGGCCCTGACGCCGCTCCCGCAGCAGCTCTGCCCACAGCCACTCCACCTGCCGCTCCAGGGGCTCCGCCGAGTCGCTCTGCAGGCCCCGGCACTTGGAGTCATCAGTTTCGCAGCCAGGGAAGTCCTGGCACGATGGCATGGGGTCATCGCCCAGGGGCAGCGAGGTGCTGGGCTCCGGGGGGCTCTGGAAGGAGTCTGCCAGCTGTGCCAGCTGCGAGTCCCTGGCCTGGACCTCTGCCTTGGCCTCCCGCAGCTGCGTCTTCAGGCTGAAGATCTCCCCCAGCTTCTGAGCCATCTCCTCCTGGGTGTCCCGGAGCTGCTGCTTCAGCAGGGAGATCTCTGCTGCTTTCTGGCACACCTGCAGGGCACAGTGAGCAGTGAGGGCTGGGGGAGCAGGACCCCAGAGGTGGCAGCACCCCAAGTTGTCCTCTTGGGAGACCATAAGCACCACATGTGGCTCACCCCTTCCGTACTGTGACCCCGAGTGGCACCAGAGCAGGGAACTGCTGCCCCCATCCTGGCCCCACAGCCAGGAGGGTGGCAATAGGGAGGGAAGGAAAGGAAGGAGACTCACCTCCCACTTGGTCTCCTCCAGTTTGGGGCTGCCATGCTCGCCCTGGGGCTGCCGGAGCTTGCTCTCCTCGCACTGGCACTGCTGCAGGCTCAGCTCCTCCTGCAGCCGCTTCTTCTCCTGCTGTGCCTTGTAGAGCTGCAGCTGCAGCGCCCGCTGCCCGCGCTGCGCCTGCTGCATCACCTGCTGCAGCCGGGCCATGTACATCTGCTTCAGGTCCTCCAGCTCATCCAGCCACAGCCGCTGCTTGTCCTCAAACGCCTGCCAGCACAGATGGACACTGGTGAGAGGCTGTAGCCCCAGGAGGGACCCCAAGAGGTCCTGTGATAATTGATTCTCCCACGCTTGGTCATTCCAAGCCCATCACCCACCATGGCAGCTCCTTCACTGCTCCTTCCACCCCCACATCCCTGCCTGGGGCACCCAGCACAGCTCACCTGTGTGAAGGGGTCTTCAGTCTCGCTGAGGCTCCTCTTGAGCTGCCTCAGCTCCCCTCCCGTCTCCTGCAGCCGGTCCTCCAGCTGCTTCACCGCGTCCTCCAGCGAGTAGGAGAACTCATACGGCGGCGGGGGCTCACCGGGGCTCTGCAGCCTGCTCAGGGTGGCCATGCTTTTGCAGGACAGGGGCATCTTCTCAGGGGCCAGGGTATCCCTGGGGCTCCGGGAAACCCTGTCCAAGGAGCCCCCGATGTGGTTGATGTGGCCCATGGAGGCGCTGAACTGGCTCTGGGCAGGCTTGAGGCGGGAGCCGTAGGACGGGAAGCTCTGGATGGAGTTGTGGCTGGAGTCAGAGGCCTCATCCAGGCTGATGGCGTGGAGCAGGTGGGTGCGGAGTGGGCCGTGCTGCGGGGCCGCCGTGCTGCTCTGCGACAGCAGCGTGTGCAGGCTCCCATTGCTCTTGGACAACTTCTGCCCCTTGGACGAGGACAGGCCCTGCATGGAGACCAGCCCCTTCCCAGCCACTGCCTTGAAGGCCGAGGGCCTGATACGACACTGAAAAACAAGAGCAAGGTCAAGCATGAGCCTCTACAGCCAGAGAGAACCGCCACACTCCCCACTTCATATCCCTGAACATCCTCAAATCCCCACACCCCATCCAGGAGGGTGCAGATCATCCTGTTCCATCCCCATCCTCTCGCAGACCAGGCTGTATTTCAGACCCTCACAGCCTCACCTTGTCGAAGCGGCCCCGCTCCGGCAGGGAGCTCTTGGAGAAGTCGGCCCCACGGTGATGCTCGCGGGAGCAGCGCTCAGGGGATCGGTTCTCGCGGTCGCTCTCGTAGTCCCGCTTGTAGCAGGCGGCCGATGTCTGGTGCTTCCGCTCCGTCCGCGTCTCCTTCTTGGCCCCGTGCAGGTACCCAAAGAGCTCCCGCTGGTTGGGCCCCTTGCGCAGCAACCCGTCAGGCTGCCGGAGCCCCCGCGAGCCGCCCAGCGGGGCCCGCAGCTCCAGGGGGGACAGATCCTGCTTCTCCACCAGGCTGCCCACGCTGCCCATGCTGCCAACCACGCCGACGGGCTCCGAGGAGAGGTAGGTGCCGAGGACACGCGTGTCGGGCTCACAGGTCACAGGACCCTGTGCTGCTGCCATGGAGAATTAGAGAAAAGCCCAGAACCAGCACTGCCGGGGAAGAGACAGAGTCAGCGATGCCGGGCAGCCGGGACACACCCCCGGCACCCCCTTTCCCGGCCAGCCCCAAGGGCCCACACGGGCTCCTGACACTAGGATGGATCTGCCATCTCCCGTGCGGCTTCCCGGGGGACAGGGCACAGCAGGCACGGGGCGGGGGCTCCCCGCCGCTGCCCCCACCACGGTGC